GTAAGTGGAATAAAGACAGGGGAATTATTTTATAAGAGAGTTTGCATCGAATGAGAACTCTGGAAATCATAGAGATACAATCATTTTAGAGTTTTCCCAGAGGTAAAAGATTATTCAACTCATATAAACCTTACGTCCTCACTCCCATGATTGATAATCTCGGTTTTGAGTAGGGAAGTCGTATTAGATATATATGCTTTACGTTGAGTAGGGAAGTCGTATTAGACATATATGCTTTACGTATACAACCCACGTTATGGTTTTACCAGCCCATTGTAAAGCTCACTTTAAGAAGTCAAAGTTGATCAATAATGGCTACTTTTTTTATGTATGTCATGTCCATAGTTATAGCACTGTTGTTTGGATCCATAAGCCTGAGTTACTCAGATATTGCTTGTATTACATACCTCTGGGCATTGACCGTAGGCCCTGTGCTGGGGGCCTTCCTGCTGGTGCAGCACAGACATTGTAAGCTGGTCAGTGACTCCAGGAGGAAAGAAACAAGAGACAGATAACTTAAATGGAATTTAAAGCACATAAAGTTAATCCAGAAATCAGCATGGTAATCCCCAAGGCAAAATCCAGGTATATCCTACTCTCTACCAACAGCATACATAATTCTGGACCATGTTCACTTTTTATCTTTAGAGTTTTCTTGCCTTTTCAGGGCTGCTTTGGTTTTCATTGTAACTAGACATCAATTTTGAAATGAATCTAGGTTAGGGAACCAAGAAAGTAAAAGTAGAGTAGTCCCCCTTATCCGTGGGAGTTACGTTCCAAGCCCCTCAGTGGATGCCTGAAACCGCAGATAGTATTGAACCCTGTATATACTATGTTTTTTTCTATACATACATACCCATGATAAAGTTTAACTTATAGATCAGGCACAGTAAGAGATTAACAGCAACAACTAATAAAATAGAGCAATTAAGTTGAGAACTTTTATCTTTTCACTAAAGGGAGTGCTTTACAGCTTCTCTTTGACATAGCTGAATTGCCAGCATCAATAGTCTTACGCTTTGGGACTATTTTTAAGTAAAATAAAGGTTATTTGAACACAGGCACTGTGATACCACAAGAGTCCATCTGATAAGCAGCTACTGAGTGACTAATGGGCAGGGAGCATATGCAGCCTGAAAATACTGGACACAGGGATGATTCGTGTTCGGGTGAGAGGAAGTGCGACAGCTCAAGATTTCATCACGCTCCTAAGAATGGAACATGATTTAAACCTATAGATTGTTTACTTCTGGAATTTTCCATTTAATATTTTAAGACCACAGTTGATTATGGGTGACTGAAACCTCAGGAAATTAAACTGAAGAAGATAAGGGGGAGACTACTGTATCCTGTAGTGTAATTTTTCTCTGGGGTCTCTCTCTTTCCCAGGGTTTTCAAAGATAAGAAAATCGATCTCGCATATAGTTATTGAACATTTTTTCTCTGTAACATAAGGTGCAAATATAGTATTGTTCATGTCTAGAATTCCTACCTAAAACATTAAAGAGAGTATAAAGAAAAACTGACTTGGAGTACTGTGTTCACAAAATTTCTTCTAATCATCATTTTAAGGCTTGTGACACTTAGAAGATTTGTAGATGGCCCCTTAGCAGAATAAAAGGAAGTGTCTTAAGTATAAATTCCTTTTCTCTAGCTGCATTTAAGATTCTCTCTTTGTCTTTAACCTTTGGCATTTTAATGATAATGTGTCTTGGTGTGGGTCTGTTTGGGTTCCTCTTGTTTGGGACTCTTTGTGCTTCCTGGACTTGTATGTCTGTTTCCTTAGCTAGGTTAGGGAAGTTTTCTGTCATTATTTCTTCAGATAGGTTCTCAATCCCTTGCTCTCTCTCTGCTCCTGGTATCCCTATGATATGAATGTTGGTACGTTTAGGTCTCTGAAACTTTCCTCATTTTTTCTGATTCTTTTTTCTTGTTGCTGTTCCAATTGGGTGTTTTCTGCTACCTTGTCTTCCAATTCGATGATTCGATCCTCTGCTTCATTTAGTTTACTCTTGATTCCTTCTGTGTATTCTTCATTTCAGTTATCATAGTCTTCATTTTTGACTGTTTCTTTTTTGTAGTTTCCTTTTTCATGCTTAGTATCTCTCTGTTGAAGTCCTCACTGAGCTCATCTGTTTCCCCCGCTAATTTCATTGAGCATCCTTATAACCAGTTTTGAACTCTCTCTCTGGTGGGTTGCTTGCCTCCATTTCATTTAGCTTTTTTCTGGAGTTTTCTCCTGTTTCATTTGTGGCATGTTTCTTTGTTTTCTCATTTTAGTTGCCTCTCTCTGTTGATTTCTATATAGTAGGAAGATATGTTGTGTCTCCCAGCCTTGGTCAGGTTGCCTTATGTAGTAGGTGTTCTATGTGGCCTAGTGGTGCATTCTCTCTGATCACCTGTGCCAGGGGCTCCGGACTTGCTTTCTGTGTGGGTTGTGTGTGTTCTTTTGCTGTAGCTAATCCTTGATTGCTGCTGGCATGTCAGTGGTTGAGACTGACTTTTGGAGTGACTGTCTGTGGGGATTGGCCATGCCCATGTAGTATGAACTGCTGTGTGTGGGCTGACTCCACGGAGTGGGATTTGCACCAGCAGGCTCATGTACCTGCTGAGACCACCTTTTGGGTGTGCCGCTTTTGGGGATAGTCAGGTAGTGCTATGTTGTAATTTGACACCAGTGTTTGGGTGTGTTGTTTCTGGGCCCCTTTGAGAAGAGCTCCGGTGTAGGTTAAAGTCAGTCGCTGCCTTTGATTGTTTGGGGTTACCTGGTAGGAGCTACAAAGCAATCCGTGAATGGTTGCTGTCTGTGCTGGATCTTGAGGCAAGTGAGAGAGACCACGCTGGGAGCCAAGGTCAGATACCCTCAGTACTGGCCCTGGGGTGCGTCAGCAAGAGGACTAGTGTACCTCAAGGCCTGAGGCTGTTTGCCATTTGCCTGTATATCTCTGCAGCTGTGAGAGCTGTTGGTTGGTAGGAAAGTTGCATGGGGCAGGGACCCAGGGAGTCACCAGGGTAAAGCATACAGATTTCACCTGGCCAGTACAGTGGAGCGAGCTGATTTTGTCAGGCCAATGCAGATTGCTGCCAGTGCTGAGCCTGCAGGCTCCCACAAAAGTCACAGATCACAACGAGGCCAGACACCATTCTCCTTACACCTGTGGACCTCAGCAATCTGCCCAAGAGGCACTGCAGTTTGGGCTGGTACCAGTGGCCTGCCAACAAAAATCTTCCTTGTAATGTGCAGGCAGCTCACAGGTAACCTGTGTGAGCTGAGGTATGCTGCCTGCCCATGAATGCTTGGCCTAGGGAAGGTGCAGGGTGCAGCTGGCTGCCTGGTAACGGGCCCACCGGGGGCACTTTGTAGGTTGGGTGGAGCAGGCCAATCTCACTCAACCAACACAGCTTCAGAATTGGCTGTGCAGGGGAGGGGTCAACAAAGGGATGATAGCACCCATCTGCAGACTGGCCTGGAGGGGTACGGACAAAGGAGCAATGGTGGCTTTCCCTATAGCCCCCACTCCAGTGCCACACAACTCAGCTCCTCCCTGTATGTCACTTGCACCTCCTGTGCTGCTGACCCTCTGCTGGAGCCCAGGGAGAGTATCTGCAAGCAAGTGAGTCTCTGTGTGGGCCCTTTAAGTCAGACATCTGGGTTTTCAGGTTTCTTCTCTCTCACCCAGACAGCCACACTCCTCACTGAGTTTTATAGTCAGATTTTGTGGGAACTCCTCTTCCTGGGACTGGAACCCTAGGCTGAGGAGCCCCTGTGTGGGGATAGGGCCCCTCTCTCCTTCAAGTGGGCCTCTGCGGTTGTGTTCTCCCTCCTGGTGCTCAACCGTCACAAGTAGGTACGAGACTAGCCCACTTCTCGTCTCCACCCCTCCTAATAGTTTCGATGTTGCTTTTTCTTTATATCCTCAGGTATGTGTGTGTTATGATCAGCAAGATTTCAGGTGATTCTCCAAGTTGTTTGTATTATAATTCGGTTGTAATTTTAATGTGGTTGTGGAAGGAGATGAATCCTGCTTTTACCTAGCCAGCCTTCTTGACTGGAATACACCAATCTTTCATTTAGTTGCTCTGATCACACCCTTACTTTTCTGCAGGTCATTTTTCACAAAACAGCCAGAATTATATTTTTATAGTGCACATCAGATCACATCACCTGCTAATGGATTTCAATTACGCTTAGAGTAAAATGCAAAATGTTTTCTGCAGTCCACAAGGATCTGGCTTGTTGTACTTCTCGACATCATCTACTTGTACTCCCTGTACCTTTCCAGTTACCACTGAGTTTTTAACTAGCTAGCTCTCCCTGAAAGGTGGTCTTGCTCTTGATATTTTCAATTCATGGATTGCTTTTCCACAAATCTTCACCTTCTCCTTGTCATTACTGACTCATCTTAAAAATGACCTTTATAACGAAGCCTTTCCTGATCATCTGGTCCAAGGAAGTTGCTAGTCTCTTACTATCGTATCACTCTGTTTTGTTTTCATTTTTTTTTATGTAACAAATATTCATGGAGCACCTATGTCGCGATAAGGAGCACAATGAAGTTCTTACCCTTAATGAAGCTGTCATTCCAGTGAAGGGGAACAGTCAATCATTACTACCTGGTTCCCCGTCCTGACCCCGCACAATGAACAGAGTGGACGATTCCTCAGAGCAGTGGCAATGTTTTCTTTCTGTTGGAATTAGTGAAGAGAACTTTCAGAGAGCCCATTCTTTCTCAATTTTACTACTTAACTTCTGTAAAGTTAGCTCCGCACCTGGAGAGGTGGCAAGTTATAGCATAAAGAATGAGGACACAATGATCAAGTCCTCCAAAATTTACAATGCACATTCTTGAGCAAATCACATTATCTACTTTTTGCATTAATTTTCTCATTTGCAAAATGAGGTAGTCCTATCCATTTCACAAGGTTCTTGAATGAATGAATTATGATCATGTTTTACTTTGATTCTATCCTAACAGCATTAATTGTCTATTTTTCTACAGTACTTTGGAAGTTTACTTGTCATTTTCTGTGTAGAACTGGCTTGTGGTGTTTGGACATATGAACAGGAAATTATGGTAAGTTCAAAGTGTAATATCACAATCTGAAACAATATTCAGTTCAGTCTTATATATCAGATACTTTGTAGTAATTTAGACATACAATTATTAATTTGAATGCTTATGCTATATGATAACAATGTATAGTCCCAGTACTTCTGAAAAGTAACATTTTTTTCTGTATTTAAAGCATGTTTTCAAACCATAATTTATAATATTTCATTTGATATACTATGATATTTGTCTTTAATTTCACAGATTGCTTACACATGGATATAATAGAGTAAAAATAATATATGTTCTAAAATAACTTTACCAATTTATGACTATATAATAGAAAAAATTCACATTTGCAACAAGTTTTGAGAAAGCTTGAAAATCTTCATGAAAGGCTAATAAAAAGCTGTACACCCATGGGTAGCAAGCGCTCATCTCCTGTTTGCAGCAAGCTGAACTATCTTCCACTTTAAGAAGTGTATTTGAGGAGCTACTGTATATTTACTCCAGTCTAGAAACATTATCACAGTTTGACACTTGGCTATATGAAAACAGCTCTTCAGCTTTTTTTTTTCCTTTTATTTTAGCAATTGAAACCACTGGAACAACTTTCATAGTTATATTGGAATGGATGAGGATAAGCGTTTCTCACCTTAAGATTTTAGCAGTTATGTTTGGTTTACCGTTTACATTTCACCTTTGCTTGCATTGGGCTTTATTACTTATTTAATGTTTGTTCACTTCCTTGGTGAAAATTTGTGGGTTTATCACCATGAAGTCAAGCATCTTTGCATGTCTGTGATTGCTGGCTGTTTTCATGGTGACAGGCCAGATTTTCCCAGTCTAAGTATCTTAGAGTAATTCTGTTTTGGTAAGATGATGCTTTTCAACATGTAGTCCTTGGACTGTCTACAGCAGGAGCTGGAGTGATTCTTAAAAATGTGCATTATAGCACTCTAGGCTAGATCTGCTGAATCAGAACAGAGGAAAAGGCAGAGGAAGAAGGGGCAGAAGGACTGTGCATTTGCATTTGTGACAGATTCCCCAGGTGAATCTTCAACTTTTTTAAAATGTAAGAGCTCTTAAGAAGAAAGGGAGATTATTTCGTATTTGTTTCAGAGAGGTATTTTGGCAGCTGTGTAAGAAAATTGAAGTTGTTTACGGTACTGATGCAGTTATTAAAGATTTTATGGTGAATCTGCTACTGTACTGCAACATTGTTTTGAATACTAAGTGGGAATTGCAGACAAGTGGGAACTCTCTGTGCTCCAATTTATATGTAAACGATGCTCTGGCACTGCCACACATCCGAACCCCTCTGGAAAACCCTCTGAAGCATACACCCCCAAGAGTATGCTTCCAATGTATGACAACTCTCAGTAAGGAGAGAGAATTTATAATTATGTATTTCCATATTAAAAATTGAAAACTCAGGGCAGGTTCTAACTGATTTATTATAAACTTAAGAATTTTCTTTAAAATTAAATCTATTAAAATAAGAATGTTCTTGCTGTCTTAGATAATTAAGTTTTTATTCCATACCCTAGAAAGTATATATTTGGGGGAGTGAAAAATTAGTTGTTTCCAGAGACTCAGTTTCTGTGTTTTATTGGTAAAAGGATAGTGTCTTTTAATTTCTGTTTTTAAAAACTAAGTGTATCTCCTTGACATTCAAGCAATAAGTAGTAAATAGTATAATTAATTTTTGATTCCCTTACCTCAGCTTTTGGTTGTATCCTTTTTGATAGTTAAAAGGTTTTTATTTATTGTTTGTTTGTTTGTTTTTTCCTATTTATTTATTTATTTATTTTTAATTGAATAAATGATTTAATTTTTTCTCCCATTGTCTAAAAGGTTTTTAGAAATGAGTTTACTTTGTGTGGATTTTAAAATGGTTTGCTTGTCATACTAATGTTTGATAAATCTCCTAAGTTAAAACATTTTAGAAATGAATTAATTTAAGGTATTTGAATGGAAATATTGTGATTCTAATATAATTCTAAGAAACTGAGATAATTGAAAGGAATTTATACTTAAAATGCTTTCTTACCTTCTGCTAAGGGGCCATCTGCAAATCTTCTAAGTGTTACAGTGGTACAAGATAGAGCACACCACCATTTCAATTGAGGGCGTACATCACTGTTTTGTTTGTGCAAATCTTCCACAATAGACTAAGAGCTGTTTAAAAGTAAAATGTGGAAAGTAGTTTGTTAGAAAAAGGTTTGTCAGATTTTTTTTTTTTTATTGCTTTTGCATTAATAGCAGTGTGAGTGAAAAGTGCCGTTAAAGTTTATTAGCTGCCAAATTTTGCAAAACCCAGCCTTTGCATAGAATGGGCTTTGTGCTCTTAGCTGTTCCTTGCAAGGAGCCAATAAATGTATGTTTTCTTTTATGGCCAGGTCACAGTGTTTTTTTTGCCAGAATCTCAATGATCTTCTCTGTTTCTTGCCACGTTTGGTCTCAGATCGATTGTGGTCACAAGAGGGAAACAACTTGTATTTATTTTGGAAAATGAAATTAGGAATAAAATGGTTCTAATAACCTAAGTAAGAGATTTTACATCAGTCTGTTTCTCTGTTGTTTATTATAGTCACCTCCTAATATTCCTTCTCTCAAAAAAGTGTCAATAATATTGTTTTAGATTATACATTTCTAGAGAATTTATTTCACTTTTATTTATTTTATGCTCAAAAGGATATGAAATAATAATAACTTAAAGTGAGTAGCTTGAACTTTGGTTAGTTCCTTGAATACTGTTGAAACTACATGAACACTAAATCTACCCAGTCAGCCCATTATTTAGAGAACAAAATTGTGTACCCAAGTATTGGAGAGTTTTCTTTTGTATTGTGCATTTCCAAGTAATAAAAAAAAAAAAATTCACTAAGGAAAAAATGAAGCATTTCTGTGGTCAAGAATTTTTAAACTATTCATATTGACATTACTATGTTTTAAAATAAAACTTCCAAATAATCTAGTTCTTTAGTTAGCATTGAGCTTGCTTGTCTAAGCCTGGGCTGTGTTACTCTATACATCAGATGTGGATGTTTGTCCAGCTTCCCAAGAGTCACTTCAATACTGCACATGTGGTGAGGCTAGGATTTGTATGCTTCGTTTTCTCCTCTGGCACTGTAGATAAAATATAGAATGATATGCTGACTAGGTTTCTAGCCAGCTGTTGTGTTGTATACCTGAAGCTCTGTCATGATTGAACACTCTTTTAAGAGACATGGACTTGAAAATAGAAACAAAAATTGCTTTAATTTGAGAACTAGTCTTTCTAGAATTATAGCAAATCTCTAAAATCCAGTTTTTGAAAGACGTTTACAAATTTATTCCAGAGTGAGGCTTGACTTGAGCTAAACTCTTTCTCTTCTTAATTCTTCTCCCTTTATTTTAGTACCATAGTCTGCACTCACTTCAAAGAACAGCAACTTTATGAAATCAAATCAAAGGGCTTTTATCTGCAGTGATCATTTGTTATAAGGAGCTCTTCTGGCATATCTGTAGGATATATAGTTTATTTATTTTGTGATTTCCTTGAGTTCGATGTTGGCATTAAATGCTTTTGCATTATTTTGCTTAACATGAAGTACCTCGTCATTTAGTACTAAAATTCACATGTAGAGTTTGTTCAATAAGTATTTAGTAACTCTGAGTTAACTTAGACCATAAACAAATATGTTTAAAATAGTATTTGTCAATTATAATACATTCTAAATGTGTTCGAGTGTGCGTATGAGACCACAAGTGATAGAGTTTGTGAATATGTGAATGTATGTGTGTCTTTATGTGTTACAGTTGTTGATATTTTGTTTTTTATCTCCAGGTTCCAGTTCAGTGGTCAGACATGATCACTTTGAAAGCCAGAATGACAAATTATGGCTTACCTAGATACCGATGGCTTACTCATGCTTGGAATTTTTTTCAGAGAGAGGTAAATGCTACAATTTATGAGGTAGAGGGTATGGAATAAATGACACACTTTCAAAACAAATGTTTAAAACTTTGGCTTTGGTCACTTTCTCTGTGCTGAAAAGTTAAGCCTGAGATTCAGTTACCACTGGTGTAATTCTTTATTGAGAAATACTTCAAGGAATTCCAGGCTCTGCTTTCCTTCCTATGTATACCATTTCCTCTTCATTTCACACACTTCACATATATTTTAGAATTTCTTAAAATCCTCTTTACTAAACTACTATGAAGTTTCCTTTTATGAGACTTGCTCAATAAATATCCAAGTTTTATTTGAATAATTGTAATGACTACTTGTATTTTAAACATCATTTAAAATTTTTAAATGATTATTATTACTTTAGAGTCAAGAATCAGTGTATTGTTAGAGGCATGACCTTTCTAGTCAGAAAGACCTTGGTTCAAATCCTGGTTCTACTGCTTACTTTCCATGAACTTCTGAAATTTATTTAACTTTCTTAAGCCTCAGTCTCCTCACCTGTAAAATAGGGATTATCAAATACCTATCTCCTTGAGTTCTTGAGAAGATTAAATGAGATAAGTTTGATCTTATTTAGCTTATGGTTATTAAAAATAACATTAGAAAGAATAGATAGTTTTAGCATTTTTACCTAACTTCCATATACCACTGCATCCAGTCATCTTCTCAAATGGAGACTATATTTACATGTTTAAAATCTGGTGACTTGAAGTTAATCATTGATCTTGCTTCAAACTAAGCTTTCCTCCCAAGCAGTTTTCTTGTGGTTGGAGTGACATTTTCAGATGACCAAGTATATCCGTTTCCTTTAATTTTATTTAGAGCTGGGCCACAAAGCATTTGAGAATCAGTGTCTTACACGGTGGATATTTAGCTGTCTGCTATATTACTCTGTATTAGATCCTGGCAGAGGTTCAAGTCCAGGATAATCTCCATATCTGGCCCTTTGTGTTAGAGTTGTTGAGATGGTAAAAATTATCATTGTAACACAGATTTCCTGTTTATTTAAATGCTTCCTGACTTTGTTTGTTTATTGTTCATTTGTACTAAAAACAACATGCAGGGAAAATAAGTAAAGCATTAGGAAGTTTACAGAAAAATGTGTTCAGCTACTGCTCTGGGTAGAAGCTGCCCAGAGCTCTTTAATTTATGGGATTCGTGATGTAGACCATGACAATCCAGTTTAAAAAAAAAAAAAGAAAAAAGAAAAAAAAAGAAGAAAAACAACAAAAAAAGAGTTTTCTCTAATGGTAGGAAGAGGAACTCCACCTAGATAGACAATGTACAAGCCCTGCAACTGGTAGCACACATATTTTTAGATTTGTTGCATAAGTGCCCTCCTCTATATCATAGGCTGGTTTCACCCCAGAGGAGGTGGTGCAGACCTCAGGGCATCCTGAAAGAGTTTTTAAAAGCCCCTTATATTGGTTTGCTAGGGCTGTGGCCCTATCAAAGTACCACAAACTAGGTTGGTTAAACAACAGAAATTTATTTTCTCACAGTTCTGAGTCTAGGAATCTGAGGTCAAGACTTTCAGGGTTGGTTTCTTTGGACGCCTCTCTCTTGGGCTTATAGATGGCCATCTTTTCCCTGTGTCTTCATGTTGGCTTCCCTTCATATGTGTTTGTGTTTAAATGTCCTCTCCTTATAAGGACATCGGTCATATGGGCTTAGGGCCCACTGAATGACCTTAATTGAATTACCTCTGTAAAGACCCTGTCTTCAAATATGGTCGCATTTTGGAATGAGAACATCAACATGAATTTTGGGTGGCATACAATTCAGCTATGACACTTACAAAATAAGTGGTATAGCTGAGAGTGAGCTTGTCAGGCCCCAGTTTTCCTGACTCCTCATTCAGTGCCATTCTGTGCATGTCTGTCAACTTAGCAAACTCTTGCTTAAGCCCTAGTTATGTTTATTTAACTGTCTTTTAAAAAATGTATTTCTTTATTTTAACATAGTGGTTGGAGCATAGGCTTTGGAATAAATAGGCTCTGCCACACGCTGATCTGTGATCTTGGCAAGTTACTTGACCTGTGAGAGCCTCAGTTTCTTTATATGTAAAGTGGTGGTGGCATGTTCTGAGTCTGACACAATGTTAGCAATGTTAGCAAGACACGTGTTCTGAGTCTGACATAATCAACAATGTGATTTTAAAGGAGGCAGGAAAATTACAAGGAGATGTAGACTACAGACACGTGTGGCTCAGTAATAGATTTGCTTAAGGGAGTTTTCGGGAAAAGTTTCAATTCAGTATCTTCTGTTGATGAGGAAAAACAACTATGTGAAAAAAATATCTCAGTGATTTATTAAAATAAAAAAAGTATTTGGCACTGAACATGATATAGTTAAGTCATTTGGAAAAGCCGTTTCCGTGGAGCACCTCATTTCCTGACAGGGCCAGATAAATGGACTGTTCTGTGGTGGATGGGGTTAGAGGGTTCCAAGAGCTGTTTGGTCACCAACATGGAAACACACATGTCCTTTGGAAATGAGAAAAGTAGGTTTTCTCTGAGAATTTTAAAAGACTGACTTGGAAATGTAGTGGTTTATGGTGTTTAGAAAGGAAAATCTTTTAGTACCTATGTTTTTTATGGATACCAAAGGACTTACATAAAATATGTGATATCAAATTATGTTCGAGTTAATTTACGATGTTTGTGGTATATTCATGGCTTTTAGAACAAGTTTATGAAAGAAAAATACCAAAACATTTTTAAAGTTTCTGAGAAAATTTTAGTACTACTCACAGTTTCCAGTAATTCATCATTTATAATATTTTTAAGGTGATTTTTTCTTTTTTAAAATTAAATATTTTACACAAATGAAAAATTTTAAATTATTTTCAGCATTTTTTTGTGATAAATTTTATATGAGAAGTTTAGAAGTCTTTAAAGATGATTTCGGTTGAATTTTGAAATGGTGGATCTTGATGTTTTATGAAAATGTCAATCCCGGCATGGATTGATCTACTGGGCGACATAATTCGCAGAGCCAGTCACTCTTGGCAGAGTCTTCTCAGTGACTGCCCTTCATCCTTGTTTTTCACCAGTGGAAGAGTAACCCCCCTCTACACAAGGGCAGAAAATTAGCATAGTTAATTATTCTGAACCTAATCTACATATGTCTGTAAACAGTGTTTCTAACCTTGACCAGAGAAAGGTTTTGCTAATCCTTGGTGAAATGAGACAAAAAGAAGACAAAACTATTTTTCTTAAATCTAACTTTATTCAAGCTAAAGGAACATGATTTCTTCTGAGATTAAGGTGATAGAATGTGATAATTTATTTCAAGAATCTCATTTGGTTGAACAAAATTTTGTTAGCCAAACTTGTGTTTACATCTCAAGAATTTTTGGAAATGTTACTGGTCAATGAATTCAACTCCGGTAATCTTTGGTCAGCAAATCTTTCTATGGAGATTACATAAATTTTTAATATGATATTCGAATTTCATTCAGCAATTAAACTGGTAACTAGGTGTATATGTATGGATTAAGTACTCTTTAGTGCCTAGAGGCTTCATGATAACTATAAGATCTCAGCTATTTGTTTTGTTAGTTATATATGTTAACTCTTGCTACATGATCACTTGTAGAGGATCTTACAGTTGGGGAGTAAGACTCAGTCATGAGTGGTCCCTTTTCATGTGTTATGAGCATTATTGTTCAAAATTGTTCCATTATGGGTCTGTTACTACATTTCTGTCATCAACATGGAATGTACACATATCATTAGGTGATGACAGAAGTCAGTTTATCTCGGCGCAAAAATTTTAGAAATCTGATGTTTAATCTCCAAAAATTAAGAAAATATTTTTGTAGTTTCTGAGACTGACTAGTAATTTTTTTGCAGTTCAAGTGCTGTGGAGTGGTTTACTTCACCGACTGGTTGGAGATGACAGAGATGGACTGGCCACCAGATTCCTGTTGTGTTAGGGAATTCCCGGGATGTTCCCAACAGGCCCACCAGGAGGATCTGAGTGACCTTTATCAAGAGGTGAGGCCATAGGTAGTTAACTTATTATGGGTAAAACTTTTCTTATAATGACATAAGTAAAGAATCAACAGCATGCCAAGTGAAAATTTCCTCTTCTGTCTAAATAGAAAAGCCTTTTTTCTCTGATATGTGGAGAAACAGGATAAAGCTAAAAGTCAATGTAAAAATCTGAACACTAATCACATTTTAACAAAGAAAATTGGGAAAAACTAGATTTTAGAATTAATAGGACTTTTAACTGTTTTCTAGAATCCAGTTCCATTGCCCCTCTTAGGAGACCTTTGAAATCAGACATGTGCAGAGCATGTAGCTAACTCTGGATATTAGGGAAGACACAGTGTGGAGTTCCTGAGAAGAATATGTTATTTTAGGGCCTTCACATACATTGAAACAGATGTAAGGAAAAAATCCCAGAGAAAATACTGGCCTCTTCTCTTTAGTTCCCCCTGCTGGTTAATGATCGGTGATGTTGGTTTTAGTTCACAGATTTAATGAAGTTACAAGCTCACTGAGAGAGAAAGAGCAATCATGGGGATTGTTTTATAAACCATATAAATGTCTAGCCAATGAATTGTATACTAGAAACTAATAATAAACAGATTTTTAAAAGCTCACGAATTAAAATCAATTGTCATGTGCCCGAGAAACTTGCATTTTTGTGTTTTCTGGGAGAATTTATCAGAATCATCAGTTATTTCTTTGTTAGCAGTTTTCCTATTCCTCCATTGTTAATGGTCATTTTCAAATTTTGTTCGCAGCAGAATCCTATTTCCAAATTAAAATCTGGAGCTAGTACACCATTAAGTATAGTAGCCATTGATTAATGTGACTACTTAAATTAAAATTAAATAAAATTAAATTTTAATTTCCTCACTCACACTAGCCACATTTCAGATGCTCAACAGCCTCTCAGGACTGGCTACTTCTGTACTGGATAATGCAAATGTAAGATATTTTCATTATTACAGAAAGTTTTATTACAGACTTGATTTAGAATGGAAGCTCAAAATATAAATCAGATGGAAGGGAAGCTGCTCAGGCTGAGAGGCTGGAATCATTTCTAAGTTACATCTCCAGTCAAGAACCTGGGTACCACAAAGCATTGTTGAAAACTTCTGGATTAACAGATACACTCATTCATAATATAACACATACACATATACACACACACACACTCACACACAGTATAGCTTTAAAGAATGAAACTTTAAAATAAAACACAGAATTATGAAACATAAATTTTTACATATTTCAAGATGGTTACCTTAGGAGGTTATACATTTTCTCCGAGATATATTGTTATTATTCAAAATATCTTTTAGGCAGTCTGCCAAAGTCAATTGTAGAGTTGCACAAGAATCAGCTTCATTAATTTATAGTGTAAATTAACTAATTTGAAAAAGATGATGGATTACTTACACAAATGACCCAGCATATTCATGTCTGACATACAAGTAACTTTTGACTTAAAAAAATTCATCTCAGAGGACCAGCCTTTGACACATTTAGGATATCCAAAATAAAGTACTTTGGACTCTGAAGACATGCTACAAGAAAGAATGCAAAGTTGTTTTGTTTTGCAAGAGATTCAGAATTGTATCATTTCCTAGGACTGCTGTAACAAAGTACCACAAAGTAAGTGGCTCAAAAACAGATACTTGTTGCCTCACAATTCTGAAGGCTATATATAATCTGAGATCAAGATGTCAGCAAAATTGGTTCTTTCTGAGGGGTATGAGGAAAAACCTGTTTTATGCCTCTCCTTCAGCTTGTGGTGGTTCGCTGGTAATCATTGGCATTCCTTGGTTTGTAGAAGCATCACTCCTATCTATGCCTTCATCTTCCCTGCTTTCTTCTTGTATGCATCTGTCTCCAAATTCCCCACCCCCTCTTTTTTTTTTTTTATAAGGACACTAGTCACATTGGATCAGGGACCCACTCTTCTCCAGTATAACCTCATCTTAACTAATTACAGCTGCAACAACTCTCTAAATGAGGTCTGATTCTGGGGTACTGGGATTAGGACCTCAACATGTGCATTTGGAGGGGGCACAATTCAACTCATAAAAACTGAGTAACTCAGGTTATTTATTTTAAAAGATAATCAAAATACTTTTAGTCAAAGCATTGTGTTTGGATATTATAATTTTAAACATATTCTGTTTAGTAACTTTTGGCTTTGAATGAAAAGGAATATACAAGATATTGTATACTAAACAAGCATTGTTGGGACAGTGTCTCTGAGTTTCTCAGTGATTGTGCTATATCTTGTTTTCTGGATGAAAGCTGAGTATTGGCTGGTGTCTGTAGTAGGGATGGCCAGCTAACAAGTGCAACAGTTAAAGTCCTATTCATCCTATAAAACAGAAACAGTGCTTAATATGTCTAAGATAATATTAAATGCAGACATAATTGTGGATATTAAAATATAACTCACCACTAAGTTTAGAAAAAGCAGATGATTACAGTATAGATACAAATATAAACATGTGAATTGAAACCTATCAACTTTCCTGGTGTGAACTTAATCCATTTCTTAGGTTTTAGGAGTGGCAAGTCAATATGGGAAGTAATTGGGCTACAGCAACATATATGATAATGTCTACCTTCTTTAGTGGTTAATACTGATAGTATGATTATAACCAATATTGATCATAAGAATGGCAAAACGAATCAGTTTACCAGATCTTCTCACAAAGTCTTCACTTCAATTTTACTGTATTTAGTTGAACAGCATTCAGTTAAACATTTAATAAAATTTTCTTATTGTAAAAATGCAATTCATTTTTACTAATTTGTCTTAGAGTATTTCTACTAGTAATATTTATAATGGGATGCTTTACTTTCAGGATGTTGATAATAGTTCCATGAATTTTAAGATTGAAAGAAGCCACACTGTTATGTATGTGCGAATTGATGGCCTAGATTATTTTAAAGTTTTTTTTTTTCATGTATTTCATCAAAAGACTTTCAGTAGTAAGCTGGCATTTTCAATTATGCAGTGTTTCTTTAGACAGAATTCCAGCAGAGATAGAGGTTCATTATATCAGAGTAATCTGCTTTTGCATTTTATAATTAATAACAGATGTTGATATTGGTAATGTTATAGTGCATAATTATATGCATAGTTGACTTACAAAAGTGGATCATTTAGTAGCTTTATGGCACAAGTATAATTAAATCTATTGTTAAAAATAAGATTTAATTCCACTTTGCCCTGGAGAACATGTTTCCTAATTGCAGTGTGCCCAGAGAACATCCACCTGGAAAATGAGGTGTCTAGGTGGATGAGCAAGTGTTGGACAGCTGGAGATATCCAGTAATAAGGGGAGATATTTCAGATGTCTTCAAATATTTCAAAGTTCATCATTCAGAGCAGGAACTAGACTTATCCATTGTTGCTCCAAAGGCCAGAAGTCACAGGAAGGAAATTTTGAATCAATAGAAGGAAGATCTTACTCATCAAAATCCGTCCAATTGTGATACAGGTTCTCTTGTAAAATAGTGAGTGTCTCATCTCTAAAAATATTAAAGTCAAGGTCAGATAACCATGTCATTGGTGGGTAGAATGGGTTTTTAAATTAAGAGTGAATCTGGACTAGATGAACTTCAAGGTCCCTTTTATCTTTTATATTCTGTAAGCTCAGAGATAAGAACTGGTTTTCTTCCTGCAGTCTTTCTTCAGTAGTCTGAAATCAAGGAAATAAATCATCCTCAACTATCTGGTGGCCTGTTTGGTCCCTGACCCAATAATATTTTATGACACATTCAAAACCTGTGAAAAATGACAGAGCAGAAATATAGTAACAATTATACATTTTAGAAACATTTCCATCAGAGATTTTGGTGGGTCTGGCAGCTCCTCTAATATCCATAATGAGCTACACACTTCTGGAAAGTATACATTTAAAAATCACGGATAAAAATATCTGGCAATTAATTTGGTTCCAATGCATTCATTCATTCAAAATATTTTGTAACTAACTACTGGGTTCCAGGTGCTGTTGTAAATGCTGTGGATACAGTGGAGAATGTTGCAGACAAAAATCTCTCCTCTCATATAACTTATATTCTACTGAGGGATATAGACATTTAACAAGAAAAAATATCAATTAAAAATAATTTCATTGGTGGTAAGCACTGAAGATGCCGAACAGGTTCATATGCTAGAGAATGGCTTCATTGGTTGGAGAACTACTTAAGATAGGATTTGTAGAAATAGCCTCTTAGGAGGTAGCATGTGAACTGAGACCAATTAATGAGAAGGACCCCACCATGCAAAGATCTGTTGAAGAGTATTTTTTAGCCTTGGGAGCTACAAGCGCAAATGTCCACCCAGAGGTGGCCTGGGCCAATGATTATTGGCTGCTTACTACTCTGTCCTTTGGGATCGTTTGTGTAGCCACCCTCTCCAAGTATTAGGTGTGAGGCTTGGCCTCAGAAAAACATCAGACTCAGAGTTTAAGATGGTAAATGCAGGACTAAGACTTGTCTATTCCTTTGTTCATCTTCTGAGTTTTCTGCCATATCAGTTACTGGATTGCTGTGTCGAGACTTGATCTGGAGAAGAAAAACAGAAAGAAAGAAGAATGAAAAAGGCTGGTAGACAAAAAAGTCTTTGTAGATCAGCGGCTCCCAACCTCATGCCCATTGATCTGTGTACCGCTCGGATGTGTAACTGATCCAAAATCTGTGTGCCCGACGCTTTGAAAGGCCAAAACTCAAAATGTCAGAGTTTGGAATAAGGAAATGTTTATTGATAGAGAAGACACTAACTGAGAAGATGGGAGACCCAGTGGTGCCTCAGATCCATCTTGCTCTCTGGACTAGGTTAAGGATTTTTAAAGGATACAAGGAGAAAATGTATGTGGAAGTGCTGGGGGCAAGTGTTAATGGGAGGACTTCGGAACTTGGCCATTTGTCGCAAAGGAGACTCAACACTGGATCTAACCAGACAATGAATCCTTGGCTTCCGAAAGGGTTCTGGTGTTCAAGTTCTG